AATTGAGAGGAGTTAATAACATTTAGAAAAGTTACTTTCCCCCACTCCATTATAATAGCCATTATTTGCGATTTTAACTTACCTTGCGTCTTAGACAATATGACATATTTTCTTTATTATTTATCATATGCTAGGATTAGCTGCGAAATAGATATCCAAGAATTGATGAATATTCATTGGTATAAAAATTATGAAATATACGATTTCTTGTTATTAATTTTGTAGATAGTTCCTCTTTCTGTAAACTACTCAAGTACCGGTTTAACAAAGATATTAGCACGCCGGGAAATTATTATTTTTATGATTTTGATGTAAAGCTATACTGTATTATATTGCACTGACAGATAGAGAAAATAATAAATAACAAAAAATGATAGATGACAAACAACAGTCGAAAGCGAGAAATTCCCATTTCATTAGAATTAACAAGATATACAGCACATGTTTTGGGAGTCTGTTCTTGATTTTTTCCTATTTACCCTCCTTGGAACCACCTAGCCAGTAGTTGCTCGAGTTGAAACAAGCAAATACGTATTTTCTCGCTCAGCTGTTTGAATGCGGATGCGACACCTCAAGAAACGCCAAGATTTATGGCTTAATTAAAACTAATTATAATACTCTTCCGTAACTCATCACTTAGTATGACTTCAGATTTCCATAGACATTGCGCGCGCGCGCGCACACACACACACACACACACACACACACACACACACACACACACACACACACACACACACACACACACACACACACACAATGATAACGCATCTTTATATTCACTATAGCCTCCCTGCGATTTTGTGTTTAGTTCATGTTCAACATTGACAAATGTAATGTAGCATGGTTTCAGTGTATTCAACAAGTGTTTCACTCTGGAAAAATATATATGTATATATAAATATACATATACACAATTGTATATATATACATATGGGTATATGTATAAACACACAAGCACACACACGCCCGCGCGCGTACACACACACACACACACACACACAC